TCCACCATATATATATATATATATATATATATATATATAAGACAGGTGAGATTTGAAATTAAAAAATAATATAGAACAAATGTTTTAATTCTGCCCCTTTAAATGGTTTCTTTTCCTTGTCTGTGTTTCCCATTCATACAATGCCATTTTACAGACCCACAAGAACTGAGATGACAGCTTCTGTAAATAAGTGCCAAAAACAAGGACAGAACCCTAAGTAAATCCATGTCCTTTTCCATTTTCACTTAACTTTTTTTTTTTTATCAAAAGTATTTGATTTTTTTTGTTCATTTTATGTTTTTTTTTTCTGTGATATGCTTTGGATTCAAATTTCAAAAGCCCTCCCAAAAGATCCTTCAATCCACCAGTGTTCTCCTTCTCCAGTCTCCATAACCACCCACCACCATTTTACACGTTCTCCGAAACTCTCTCTGTACACTCTCTCTCTCTCCTTAGAAAAAAAATCTCATCTTTCTTGTTCATCTATGAATCTTGAGCCATAAAGATTCAACCTTTCACCTCTTTTATACTTCTGCCAGGATGGGTGCTTCGGGGAAGTGGGTGAAATCCATTATCAGTCTCAAGAAACCAGAGAAAGGCGAATATGTAAGAGACTTTGTGCATTCCGTTAACATTCAAAACAGCCCTTCTGAACCTCTTGCTCATGATTGTTTTATGCAAGTCTGAGTGTTTCATCTGATTCTTTGGGTTTCAGGAAAAGGGTAGTGGAAAGAGCAAGAAATGGAGGATATGGAGGAGTTCTTCTGGTGATTTAGGGTTGTCGGGTTCGACATGGAAGGGTTTCAAAGGAAGACATCGGTCTGAATCAGAGGGCTCGGATTCTTCCGATGCCTTCTCTGCAGCCGTTGCAACTGTTGTCAGAGCTCATCCTAAAGACTTCAAAGCTGTTAGAGAAGAATGGGCTGCCATTAGGATTCAGACGGCTTTTCGTGGATTCTTGGTGAGTCCTGTTTGGTTCCCAGTAACAAAAAATGGTTCTTCTTGTGTTTCTGGTTTCGTCTATGAACTTCGTGTTTCAGTTTCAGGGCATTGCAACTGTGAACTGAAAATGACTGAAAATCTCCGATTTGATTTCTGAAAGTGATTGATAATCTCCGGAAATTGTATTTTGAACTATGACAATGAATTTCTGACTATTGATATGAGTACACGATTTTGAATAGGCGAGAAGAGCATTAAGGGCATTGAAAGGCATAGTAAGGCTACAAGCTCTTGTGCGTGGACGGCAAGTGAGGAAACAAGCGGCTGTGACATTACGATGCATGCAAGCGCTTGTGCGTGTCCAGGCTCGCGTCAGAGCACGCCATGTCAGGATGTCGGTCGAAGGAAAAGCCGTGCAGAAACTTCTCGATGAACACCGGAGCAAGGCTGATCTCTTGAAAGAAGCCGAAGTAATGTCTTGTGAAAATTTCTCTGCATAAACTCTAGAGGGCTTTGATTGTTTTCTGAGCTGTGTAAATGTTTTTAGGAAGGGTGGTGTGGTAGCAAAGGAACGGTAGATGATATCAAGACGAAGCTGCAACTGAGACAAGAAGGCGCCTTCAAGAGGGAACGAGCAACGGCTTATTCCCTCGCGCAAAAGGTTAACAAGAGAACGCCTTCTCAAGATATTCTCTTTTGAACATGTTTGTGTCATTTTTGTGAGCTAATGCTGCAAGTTTGATCTGTGTTTCAGCAATGGAAATCGAACCCGAGCTCGAATCTGAAGGCAAACAATCCGATTTCATACCTCAAAAGCCAAGAGTTTGACAAGAATAGTTGGGGATGGAATTGGTTGGAGCGGTGGATGGCTGCTCGGCCATGGGAGACAAGACTTATGGAACAGCAATCAAAACCCGAAACCGGGGAGGCAACACCTCCTCCTAAGAGCTGTGTCACTTTTTCTTCAAGCAAGCTTTCAAAATCACCCGAACCCGCCTCTGTAAGGGTTAGGAAGAACAATGTATCAACTCGGGTGTCGGCTAGACCCCTTCAAACCGGAACTCAGTCGTCTTCAAGTCCTGGCTCCGAGTCTAGGTACCATGACAAGAGTTCGGCTTCACCTTCCATCTGCACTTCAGCCACACCTGCCTCCGGAAACACTGGCCTTGAGACGGGTGGCAATGGAAACTGCAGTAGTAAAACTAACAAGGGAAGGCCAAGTTACATGAACATGACAGAATCGACAAAGGCCAAGAGAAGGACAAACAGGGCACTCAGACAATCCATGGATGAGTTTCAGTTTATGAAGAACTCAGGCGTGTTGTGTAATGGCTGCGACTTGAAAAGCAGCCCTGCCTCAGTTAACTTCTCCAAACAACTGGGAATTCCGACCGGATTGGAGAAACAGAGAGGAAAAGAGACATGTTCGTGAGATTGGTGTATGGCACGTAGGGATAAGTTTCAACAGCTTGTTGTTCTTCTGGTGCTGCGAGTAATCTGTGTATGTTGAATAGATCTGTTTTTCTAAAAAAAAAAAAATCTCAATTTGGCATGCTGTAGAACCATTTTCTAAGTTATCACATGAAATTTTTGGGGAAGATTCAGAGGATGAAGTAAGTGTGTATGCATACACACACACACAGAGCATAGTTATATATTCCTACTTGTTTCAGCATTGAACCTTCCGGTCTCTCGGTTCATATATATCATCTGATGAATCCGTAAAACACATTACAAGAATCAAAATCTCTTGATAGCTCGAAGCTTAACGCCATTCTTGAAGCTGAGGATCACACCGTAGTCCAGCTGGAGAGGCTTCTCCATCTCCGGAGAATGCCTGAAAAGATAGTTCCTGTACAAATGCACCAACGTGAGTCTGATCTCTTGCAGGGCAAATCTCTGGCCGATGCAGGCTCGTGGTCCGACCCCGAATGGTATGAAAGCGTACGGATGCCGCTGCTTCTCCTCTTCCTCGTTCGGATCGAATCTCTCGGGCTTGAATTTCTCGGGTTCAGGAAAGTTCTTGGGGTCTTTTGCAAGGACTCCAAGTGCTAACCATACCCATGTTCCCTTAACCACAATGGACCAAATCTTCAGTTTCATCATCCGGCTCCTAAAGCTATTTCAACTGAAACAAAAAACTATACAGGTTATATCTTGTCTCGATATCGGTATCATTACCTTGGGTAGCAAGTAACCTCCAATCTCCACCTCGTTGGAAGTTTCCCTAGCGACCAACGGGGAGACCATGTATAATCTCATAGCCTCTTTTATGACCTGCGACTTCAAAACCCACCCATCAACGTTTTGAAAATATGCAAACAAATCTGAAATTTTCCTGGGCAGTTACGAATCCAACACCTGGTCGAGATAAGTAAACTTGTGTTGCAAGTCACTGGCAGTCGGGACCTGATCCCGGGGGCCAAAACCATCAATCTCATGAAGCAAGCGCTTCTCGACCTCTGGATGGCCTGAAACTAAGTATAAAATGGAAGATAATGTGAAACCTGTCGTTGTTGAACCAGCGAGAAGATGCTCATAAGTCACCGCGCTGATATAGTCAGGCGTGAAGACGTTCTTGGCTACTGTCTCGGATTCTATTGCTTTCAATATCAGCGACAAGAAGTCCTTTGCATCGCTCTCTTTCTCTTTCGCTCTCTTGGCAACGATCTCATCGAGCCTCCCACTCAATCTCCTGTTAGTCCTCTCTAGTCTCCAGTCCCTTGTTCCCGGAATCCTCATCAGAATCTGTCTGAAAGGTTCTTGAAGGATCGGTATCAGTAACCCTAACACGATGGATAATGATCCCGATAAGTCCATCTTGAGCTGCGTCGTAGCGTACACATGCTGGTTTATGAAATCTGAAATCTCGGAACTGCCACCATCTGATGAGCCTTTGACGGGATTTCTCTCCGAAAGACCAAAGTTAACCCCGAAAGCCGCCTGCCCGATGATATCGGTGGTGAGTTTGAGCGAGAGATCGGAGAAAACGAGATCATCCGTCTCAGAATCAAGATTCTGAGTCGCGGAGCTGATGAATTTGTGCATCATGGGCACGAGACTGGCCAAATGAGAGGGTTGGTAGAGGGAGACGATCTTGCTCCTCATCTTCGACCATCTCTTGTACCTGCAGGGTGCGCTTCAGACATCATTCGTAACAGACAAAAGCTTTGTCTCAAGAACCATTTGGTCACAGGGAAAGACATCATCACCTGGTGAAGAAGAGACCTTTCTGATGAAGTGGGGAAGCAGAGATTGGAGAAGGAATGCTTCTGTTCGGAATTTCTTTGAACTTCCTCATCCCAACCTCTCTACACAACTCTGCATCCGCCACTATTATCAGCGGTTGCCTCCCCATCTGGAATCTGTGCATATATATTATGAATATATACACAAAACACAGACCCGCGTGTATGTACGAGTGTATATATACCTGAAAATAGGGCCATAGTGCTTGGCGAGGAGGGAGAAAACGTCGGGGCCGTACTTAGCCATTAAAGGCAAGTGTCCGACAAGAGGCAGAGCGGTTGGACCAGGCACCTTCCGCACGGCCCATGACGGTCCGTACAAGTAAACCACGGCCGCTACAGCTGCTACAGCCGCTAACGCCAACGCTATCAAAGATTTGGGTTCCAATACCTGAAGAATCATCTCCTCCCTCAACGCTATCAACGTCTTCTCCTCAACCAAAAAAAAAAAAGAAGAATCTTCTATGATTTTATTTTTTTGGTGGTGGGATTTGTTGGGTAGGTTTGCTGGAATTTATAATGTTTTCGCCACTTTTTTCCAAGTGGGTTTATATTTCCCCCCACTATCCCACCAATGAAACAGTGTCTGTTCTTGTTTTTCTTTTATTATAAAATATTTTTATTAAAAAAACAAAAGATTGTTATATGGATAAACTTGGACGAATATTATAACTTTAGTTGTAATGAGGTATCCAAAATAGTTTTGATATTTATGTAAAAAAATCTATTTTATACCCAAAGCAGTATCTGTACATAGTAAATTTACGAGAAATGAAATTTTTTACTAAATATTTAAACTGCTTTTGGTTATTTTTTGAATTATTGGAATCGTTTTGGATAGTTAATTTTAATCTCAGTATTTGAACTGTCAAAAATTTCAAAATATAAGACAAAACTGGCCATTAAGTAATGGAAGATCCAAAAGGAATTTAAAAAAAAACAATGAATACAGAAAAATATAAAACTTGTATCTGAAAAGATTTATTTTATGTTATAGTCTTGGTATGCTATTTTATCTTTAAAAATTTTTTTTCTAAAAGGTAATATTTTCCGTAATTGTTTTTGGAGCAATATACAAATCACGTTATACCCAAAAAAAAAAATCCGTAAAGATTTGATGGTAACATTTTACATGATAAACTCGAGTTCAAGTTACGCTTCTCAATATGGGGTGTATAACATTAAGTAATGGAAGATCCAAATGGAATTTTAAAAACCAATGAATATAGAAAAAAAATGAAACTTGCATATGAAGATTTATTTTATGTGGTATGCTATCTTATCTAAAAAAAAGTTTTCTAAAAGAAAACATTTTTCGTCAAGATTCAATGTTCCAAACATTATTATTATTATTATTATTATTATTATTATTATTATTATTATTATTATTATTATTATTATTATTATTATTATTATTATTATTATTATTATTATTATTATTATTATTATTATAGTGTGTATACAATTTTTCAGTTTTTTTTTTAATTAGAAAATTTCAAAAATAAAATATAGTGTGTGTATATAATTCAATAAATTTTGGGCACGAAGAAGTGATGGATGGGAACATTTTACATGATAAAAATGGAGTTTAAGATAAGATTCTCAATAAAGGGTTTATATAATTCTTCTTCACATTTGACACATTAAAACATGTATTTATTATTCTTGGAGATATATATATCTTTTATCATTGGTATATAAGTGAGTACTATAATATAGTTTTTGATAATTTATTTGTGTGTGTGTGTATATATATATATAAGATTATAAGGCATTGAAATTGTTATCTATTCACTTAATGACCGATGGTTTCATGTCAAACGATTATTGACATGTAACATGTTTATTACGTAACTGATTTATAGAGCACAGAGTTCATACCTAATCTCACAGTTCTGATGCATCCATACTTGGCACCAATGGTGGCAAGTCTCTCCCTGTTTTGAATTTAATATAGGAGATATAAATAGTTTAGTATTTATTTAAAATTTTAAAATCGGTGTATTTATCTTGGATATTTTTTTATAAATTTTTTTATTAATTTGTGATTTTCTAAATTAAAAGATTCCTAATAAGCATCAGACAATTTTAAGAGTTCAAAATTAATTTAGATTTTTGTTTTAGAATAGTGGATAATAACAATAAAATAAGGTATGCGTCATTTTTTGATGGGCAATGAATTTCATCTTTACATCACACGTCAGTCAACTTGGTTCCCTTTCTCATGTCTTTCCTCAACAAATAGAATCTTTAATTCTACGAAAATTCGGTCAAAGTTATTACCGAAAATCCATAAATAACTTATTTAACAATGTTTTAATTTATGTAAGGACAATATATACATATATATATATATAATAAGAACAGAAATGCAGAAGAGGCATAAACACGTTGCCAGAATGATTGCGAGTTTCCAAAGTCTGTCCCAATACATTCTCAGATTTTTTGAAATTTATTTCTCTATTTCCCTAACAAATTATTATTATTATTATTATTATTATTATTATTATTGGATAAAGTTGTGTTGAGAAAAGGGAAAATCGATCAACAAAAGCGCTAAAAAAATATATAAAATCATTCTTTTCTTTTCTTTTTTATATTTATAAAACCATTCTTGGATTTAAATAAATATCAATCATCGCATTTATTTGTTCTAATCAGTGGTCTCTACTTCAGAAAATTCATATTGTAATAATGTGTTATCGTAGGAGATATATATCTTTTTCCATTTAAGGTTCGACTGGTTGTACCGCAGCGGTTGCGGTTGCGGGTGGCAGCGTTTTCAAAACGTTTGATAGCGATTATAAATGATTAGTACTGACTGGTTGAGAAGTTGTTGTTGGTAGCGATTGCGGGTGAGTGTAGTTAGAAGTGAATGGTTCATTACGGTTGTGGTTGCGTTTTGATATAAATTATCAAAAAAATATATTATTTAAAAATATTTTTTTATAATAGTTTTAATTAAATTTTTTGTATCATTTGATAAAAATTATTTACTAAATTTATAATAATTAAATAATAAATTTAAAATATAAATATTATCAATTTAATTTATTTTTAAGTAAAAAAATAATTTTATTATAAAAATTATTAAAAATAATCATTATTAAACCTAAAAAATTATACTATTTGTATTTTTTATTAAAATATAATACTAAAAAATAATATCAAACCATAACACTAAACAAAATCATCACCAATATATATATTAATGTTTTATATAATTTCTAATAAAAATATTTTAGTTTTTTTGTTAAAACGCCAGAAACCGCTACCAAAACGCAAGTTGGAAGCTGCGATTAGAAAACACAAGTTTGATTGCGGTTGCGGTTGGTTGCGGTTCAACCAGTCAGTTTTTCAATCGTCCACAACCGCCGGAAATCGCAACCGCTTCGTTTGCGGGTGGCGGCGGTCTAACAAGTCGCCCCCTTAACATCCAACCAAGCAACTCAAAATCATATAGTAAATAGAGAAATATACTAATATGTTTGGTTCCCATATATCAACATTTGATACTGCAATTTCAATATTACAACTTTTAATTAGGGGACTGGTTAGGTTTATATTACTGAATCTAAATCTGGGATTAGTTTGGTCAGAATTTAATTAATGAATACCAAATCATTAATGCAGTTCCTTTTTTCTATAATAAAAGTCTAAATTAGCTACCACCATCATTTAGTGAAGTGTATAGTTCGGATATTAATCATAAGCAAATTCGCTAGTGGATATATTCAAAATGAAATTGTTGCTGGATGATTTGTTGGTCAAACAAATTCTAAAATATAATTCCTAATGATAGCTTAATGGTTATCTTGATGGCAAATTTGTAAAATATAATTCCTGATGATATCTTAGTGGTGCAAGTGCATCATCATGTGGAATGTACTCAAGCCTTTTTTTTTATAGCTAATTATATTCTGGTGATATTATTTGGCATCTTAGTTTCTATGGCTATAATTTTATATATTTATTAGATATATGCCTTGAAATTTTTATTTTTGCGATTAAAGAAATAAAATTACATAAAAAAAGATAACAGAATAAAAATTTAAGAAAAAAATTAAAACTACGATAAAAATCTAAAGCTTCAACCAATGGATCCATTTTAATTTAAAACCATTTTTTTGAAAGTAGAATTTTTTTTACACCATTTGGTCTGAATATTAGATTTCGTACATTTAACAAAATTATTTACCAAATATCGTTACGATTTTAAGAGTTGGGAATTAATTTAGATTTTTGTATTAGAATAGTCGATAACAATAACAAGAATAAGGTAATGATTTGTGATGGACAATGCTTTAACGAATGGAATCTTTAATTCTACGAAAATTCGGTCAAAGTTATTGGCTAGCATTCGTATATAACTTTTTTTTTATAAAAAAATATGTTTTAATTTTATGAGGGGGCCCTTACGACATATTAATACTATTAGGGACAATTCCGTCAAAATATCAAAACTCCATTAACTCTGCAGCATAAAAAAATATAGTTTTTAAAAACATTTCATGTTTTCTACCCTTTTCTTTTGAATAAAGGGTCAAAATTTAAACAAATATATCAGGATTTCGTTTTGGTTATTCACACTTGAAACTTCGAGGAGGATCTTCGTCGCATGGGTTGGGGGCTTACCTGATCAAATGAAAAAGTATAGAAGATAAATAGAATTTTGAGGAATTATGGGGCCCGTTTCTCAAAAACTCAAAGACTTTGCTCTTCAAGAAAGAAGAGAGAAGTTTCTGCGCCCGTGCTTGAGAGAGAGAGAGAGCAAAGAAGGTTGTGGAGAGTCATGAGATTAATGTGAAAAAGACCAAAGGTTCTAGAAACTTCATATGAATCACTATATATATATATAAGTTGATATGGAAAATTCGGTGAGATGTATTTAGTATCGTTTTGAATTAATACGTATAAAAATTTGGAAAAAAATTGTAAATTGATATAATTTTTTAGATACATATATTTATTGATAAGATTTTAACAAATGAAATTCATATTCATGTATTTATTTGGAATTTTTTTCTAATTATCTCAAAATGTAAAATACCCAATCCCATATACAACCCCAATTTTTGTTATCTCTTGGCTCTTCTTAGGGCATCGACACGTCCTTCATAATATCCAAAAAGTGGAAGTTACAAATTTAAAATTATTTAAGGCTAATCTCCAATGTATAAAGCTTGGCTAAATGTTGTCTCGATCTCTCCGCACCGAATAAACTTTATCCCAACTTCTCTCCACAAACACAATATTCATAAAATATTATAATCAAAACAAATATAATTGAATTCGGTTTCGGTTTGACTTCTCTACGTACGAAATAATCTAAATTTAAATACAACCCTCATCGATCGATCACATCCCTACAATTTCGGTTTTATTTTGGTGCTTTTGGAATATTTTATTATTATTTTTTGTGAACGAGATTACAAAAAATTCGGGGCCGTCCCGATTTTGATATCGTGGGCCCAATACAAAGCCCACTTCACCGCCATATCCATGAGGGGTAAATTCGACCATCCAATAAGATATAATCCGAGTCCGAGGGTATATCTGTCATTTCCCATCAAACTCTCTCGCTCTCTCTCCCCCGTGGGCGACCTGACCTACATCTCCTCCGTGTCTGCGCCTGCTGCACAAACTTTTCTCTCGCGCATTTTCCTTCCTTTTCTCGCAATCCAAACAGGCCCAACGAGGTTTTAAGACGCTCGAAGACGAGGGTTTCTGCGAGATCGAGTTACGACCACGGAACTCGGTTTTCGGGAAAATCGGACCAGTTTTTGTCTTTGGATTCCGGGAAGAAATGGTTTGGAGACGCCTAATTATGCAGGTTGGTTTTGATCTTCTTCTTAATATGGTCTTGAAATCTTTATTGGGAAATTTTCGGAGCCGGTGAATACGATGGTGGATGCGCTCAATTTGGAAATTATTTTGGAGACCCGTTTTCGATCATTTGTTGAGAGATCGTATCACAACTGAAGTGAAGATGATCTCTTGCAAACCCTAGATGCAGGAAGCATATCTGCTGTTTGAAATTCGTGTTTTTCGTGGAATAAACTGCGAAAGTTCCGAACTTTATGGAAACCCAAGTTGTGTTTCATCAGATACTGCATTTTTTAGATAGTATTGTCAGAGATGAAAGGAATTCGTTTTCCAATCTTTTAGTGCTGTTTCTGAAAATGCCTTTATTTGGATTAACAAAACCACCTTGCTGGAGATTTTCTTTTTATTTTTGGGTTTGGCAAAATTACACGTTTCATCAAAATTAGAATCACTTTTCTTGAAGATTTCATTTCTCTTTATTAGAGAGTTATGGTAAGAACTTCGGACAGTTGTAGATACAAGTGCAGTGTTTCTTTCTGTTCCATTGAGAGATTGATTCTCCCAATATTTTTGACAGGTTTCAAGAAATCAACAGGAGTCGAGAAGTTTAAGAAATCTACTGGTCAGAAGTTACTCTCGTGTCCCCAATGGATTCCTTGGAGGTATTCATTTGCGTTATCGATCTTTGAAGGCTAAAGGGTTAAATCAATACGTTTGCTTTTACTGGTAGCAGTAACAAGTATAACAACTATTTTGGTCTTGCTACTGTAACCCCGGTTTGTTGTCATGGAAATGCGTTTTTCTCTGTCATTTGCTGTGTAAAAGGTCTTCATGTTCCTTTCTCTTGCTGTTAAACTGTTTGAGAACTGTATCTTATACCATTGCTGTTTGAGAGGATATGTGATTATGATGTGAATGGGCTGCATTTTCTATAGCTGCAGCTGATAGAGCTTCCTCTCTCCAAAGGAGGTCGCAGTCAAGTTATGTTGGGAGCTTCACTCGTAGACTGCGTGAAACACATGAAGGGAATGAAGTTGCACAGCTGAGAGAACTTTATCGAAGAAATGACCCTGAAGCTGTTATCAGAATATTTGAGAGCAACCCGTCACTACATTCAAATCCCTCCGCACTATCTGAATACATTAAGGCATTGGTCAAGGTTGAGAGGCTGGATGAAAGTGAGTTGCTTCGAACATTGCAAAGAGGTGGGTAAGGAGACAAAGCAATCTCTCTTTCAATGCTTCTTTGTATAGCATGACTATGTATTTTTAAAAGTTGCCTAGGTAGCTTGCATGATGTATATACAAATTTATTATGGCTTACTGAGTTCAAGATGCTGAGTAAGCTATTGGTTTTCAGTTTTTAAGCTCGTTTCACCCCTTATGACCTATAAAATGAAGTTCACCGTATACAACTTTATTATAGCTTACTGAGTTCAAGATGCGGGGGTATCCTTGTAGGTATTGCTGGTGCGTCCAGGGAGGAAGAAGCTTTTGGAGGTCTATCAGCCTTTAAAAACGTGGGAAAACCAGTAAAAGAGGGAGTGCTCGGAACTGCCAATGCACCTATCCATATGGTAGCCACTGAAAAAGCCCACTTCAAAGAGCAGTTATGGAATACAATTCGATCTATCGCTGTTGGTTTTCTGCTTATTTCCGGTGTTGGAGCACTTATTGAGGATAGAGGGATTGGCAAAGGTAGTTTAACTTTAAATCGTCTCAGTCTTTTTTCTTATGCTTCAGCTGTACTGGATGAGTTTCTTTATTTTATTTTTTCTTTACAAATTTTAGGACTTGGTTTGCATGAGGAGGTGCAACCGAGCATGGAATCAAACACAAAATTTAGTGATGTAAAGGGTGTTGATGAAGCAAAGGCAGAGCTAGAAGAAATTGTGCATTACCTTCGTGATCCCAAGGTAAACTCGTACAAGGATTGACGTTGGTTAAATGCTAAGACATCCCAGCAAATTTGGCAGAGATTGGCAAGATCTTCCTAACTGCTGTTCTTTTGGGCTAGTTATGAGTTCATCTAAATTTTAAAACTTACTCGATGAATGATGAACTTGTCAGGAAGTTACTTTTCATTGATTCATTCTTCTGTTACACTTCATGGTTCAGGAATTTCCTTTGAAATTTGAGTTCCTTCCCGTAATTTTTGTTCTAAAATCATCTAGAGAATGATGATATCTTTCTGGATTTTGTTTATGTTCCATATGATAGAGGTTCACTCGTTTGGGAGGAAAGCTCCCTAAAGGTGTACTACTCGTGGGTCCTCCTGGAACGGGAAAAACTATGCTTGCAAGGGCTATTGCCGGAGAAGCTGGGGTACCTTTCTTCTCTTGCAGTGGTAGTGAATTTGAAGAGATGTTTGTTGGTGTGGGAGCCAGAAGAGTAAGAGATCTTTTCAGTGCTGCAAAGAAATCTTCTCCTTGTATTATATTTATCGATGAAATAGATGCTATTGGAGGAAGCCGTAATCCCAGAGATCAGCAGTACATGAAGATGACTTTGAACCAATTGCTGGTTGAATTGGATGGTTTCAAACAGAATGAAGGGATTATTGTTATTGCCGCCACAAATTTCCCGGAATCATTGGACAAGGCTCTGGTGAGACCCGGGAGGTTTGATCGTCACATTGTTGTCCCAAACCCAGACGTGGAAGGTCGACGCCAGATTTTGGAGTCTCACATGTCCAAGGTAATTCTATTTACCTGTTTTGACTGGAGATTATTCATGGGATTGCTAAGTCGTTTGTTTCTTAGTTGACTGCCTTCATTTTTTGCGTTGCAGGTCCTAAAGGCTGACGATGTTGATTTGATGATCATCGCTCGAGGGACACCGGGGTTTTCTGGTGCTGATTTGGCAAACCTGGTAAATGTTGCTGCTCTGAAAGCTGCGATGGATGGTGCAAAAGCTGTGACAATGGCTGATCTTGAGTTTGCGAAGGACAGGATATTGATGGGAAGTGAAAGAAAATCGGCTGTTATCTCTGACGAGTCGAGAAAACTTACCGCATTCCATGAGGGTGGTCATGCCCTTGTTGCCATCCACACTGAAGGTGCTCATCCAGTCCACAAAGCCACCATTGTACCCCGTGGTATGGCTCTTGGCATGGTGTCTCAATTGCCAGAAAAAGATGAAACAAGCGTATCCAGGAAACAGATGCTTGCTCGGCTTGATGTCTGCATGGGAGGTCGGGTAGCTGAAGAGTTGATTTTTGGCGATAACGAGGTCACTTCGGGTGCTTCTTCTGACCTTGAGCAGGCAACTAAACTTGCAAGAGCCATGGTTACGAAATTCGGTATGAGCAAAGAGGTGGGTCTCGTGAGACACAACTATGACGACGATGGCAAGAGCATGAGCACCGAGACAAGGCTTCTGATCGAGAAAGAGGTGAAAAACCTTTTGGAAAGGGCCTATAACAATGCAAAGAACATACTCACAACTTACAACAAGGAGCTTCATGCACTTGCAAATGCTTTGCTTGAGCATGAGACACTGACTGGTAACCAGATAAAAGCATTGCTTGCCCAAGTCAACAACTCCCCACAGTTGCAGAAACATCAAGAGGAGGTGGTCGCTCAGCAAAGCAACCACCCAGTTCCTCCATCGACGCCTAACCCAGCTTCTTCTGCAGCAGCGGCAGG